CAGTCACAGGGTGAATGGAGAAACTTAAGCAGTCACAGGGTGAATGGAGATTCTGCCTAAGAGAAAAGAAACAAAAAACAGGGCTATAAGGCAGAGGAGGTTCAGTGAACTGACAGAGATGGGTAGTTATTGTTAGCTGATGCTCACAGATCGGAAGCCCTTGTTGACTGCTGCTCAAGCAAAATCATACTGTTTGGTAAATTAGCCACAGACCCTGAGCACCTGGGTACTATTTTTAGCTCTATCACTGATCTACTATGTGACCTTGAGCACGTCACTCCACTCCTGTGCCTCCATTACCCCTCCCTTCTCTATTTAGATTTAGAAGATCTATATATTTAGTATGAAAATAACAAGAGTGCCCATAGTAAATATGAAAAAAAAATCCAATACTAGTTTTGGAAGGGATATAAGATTGTGCCTCAGGGCTTAGACCAGTGGTGTGCAAAAGGCAGCCCAGGGGCCAGATGCAGCCCACCAGGCCATTCTATCCAGCCTGCGGGGCCCCTAAAAAATTTAGAAAATTAGTATTAATCTGCCCCGGACTGCCTGTCATGCGACCCTCGATGGCTTGCCAAAACTCAGTAAGCAGCCCTCTGCCCAAAATAATTGCCCACCCCTGGCTTAGAACATACTATTGGGATTAAAAGACAACTTTCCCTAGAGACAGCTTATCCTGTAAGTGCCAGCTGCAAAGTTTCTTACACCTCCATCTGAAGCACCTGGTACTGGTTTTTGTCAGGTTATTGGGACTAGAAGCTCTTTGGAGCAGACGCTATCTCTCAGCAGATGTTTGCATAGCACACAGCTCAATAGGGCCCTCATTCAGTATGGAGGGAGGGAAGGTCCAAGGTGCTGCTGTAATGCCAATATTTAATATGGTATACTTGGAAAGTATATCTGCTACATTCTTGAATGCAGGGAGAGAGATGCTAAATGAATCTGGCATACATTAACCATTTGGGAGGAAGTTAATTAGCTTTCCTAAGGAGACTTCCATCTCTACAAGTATTCTCAAAGATGGGAGTGTGCCACAGACATTTCTTGTGGATCTGCTCACAAAGGACAATGAGGAAGGAGAAGGGAATCACTTCTGTGAAAACAAATTGCAAAAAAAGAGTAAGTGCCTTTTCCAGGGGTATAAATGAGTGTGTCTACCTGTGCACTTTAATGCACATTAGACTATGTAATGCGCATTAAAGGCCGCATCTACACAAGACACTGATTGCACAGTTCTTACTAAAGAATACACAAGTACTAAATGACTGTGCAGTAACCGCGGTGAGTTACTGTGCAGTAGCGTTGCTGAACGGCTCTTAGGTGATGCTGACTGTGTGGTAGCTTATTACTACTGTGCAGTAGTGCCATGTCATGCTTCAAGCCATGTGACGCTGCTGTGCAGCAGTAACAAGCTACTGCACAGTCAGCGTCTTGTGTAGACACAGTCAATTTGTCACAAAAAGGTGCTCTTTAGCTAATGAGCATTAAAATAAGCTAATGCTCATTTTTCTAGTACCTCACATTGGAGGCACTAGATTTAATGTGCATTGCCTAAAGTGCATTAATGAACATGTAGACATGCCTTACATCTGCTAATTGTTAATTCAAGCAGTTCAGAACAACTGAGCTACTGACCAGAGCCTCGCGAATCAGGTATAAGGTACACAGAAGGGACAGAACCTAGAAGCTAAAAAAGGGGAGGGGGTGTCTAAGAGCTGGGATTTGAAAAACAATGACCAGCCTAGACTAAGTGGGAAACAGTTTTCAGTATTAGCTACAGTCTGAATGAAAACAAGCAGAATATATCAGTATAACAGCTTCCCCTGCTCCCCTCCATCATATGAACAGTTATGAGTGGCTTTTTTCTGGTTTAGGTTCATCTCTTGGAATGGGCCTTAACCTACATTGAAAAACAATGGCTCGCTTCTACCAAAATAATAATAATGTCCATAAAGGGAAGAGGTGAACTATACTGGTATAACTAATACTATTTACCCATGTAGATACAGCCTCTGAAAAGGGACAAAGATTTTTAGAAACACACTGGGTTTTCTTTTCTTCTATGTGTCTCACCTGGTAAAATTTAAGAAGAATTTAAATCTAGATAGATTTTTCTATTGGGTTTAGGGTTTACTGTTTTTTTTCTGTTTCTAATGCACCTGACATGGTTTTAATGAAACAGTAAGAGCAAAACCCGATAAGGGCTAGACTTTTGGGATGATTTCGCTTATGATCCCAAAGAAAGCAGGAGTGTTTTGTTTCTGGCTCTGCCACTAACCTGCTGGTTGAACAAGTCCCTTTGTCTATGCTGTCCCTTTAAACAGTAAACTCTTTGGTGAAAGGAGCTGTCTCGGTATGGATACGTCTGGGGCCCTGATCTTAATTGCAGCCTTCAGATGCACATTCAATAACAATAACAGTGATAGCACTCCCTCTGGAAAAGCTAAGAATAGTGAAGGGCATCTGGAACCTCACCCCTTAGACATCTTGGTCCAAAGAACATAGACAAAAGTCTGACTGACTCCGAAGTGGTGCTTGTGTCAGAACAAAATACAGGGAAATGCTGAAGAAGTCAGAGGAGATGGAATTTAGAGAGGGTTACAGTGACAAGCAGACTTCCCCGTGGTTCTGACTTAGCACTTGTATTAAAAGATGTACCACCGATTGGAAGAGAGGGCGTGAAGGGTGGTGGCAACATTTGTAGATGACAGAATTATTTTAGCTTTTTTTGGTATAAACGAAACTGAATGAGTTTAGAGGAACTCAAACAAAGCTCAGGGTGTGGGCCATATGATGGCAGATGGAATTCAATGCAGGTAAGTGCAAGGTAATGCACACCAGACAATAAGATACCTTCATATTTTTAATGAATACTTAATTTATCTAGGAAGTGCTTAATACTATGATGATGAGTGCTATAAAAACCTTACGATAGATAGATAGATAGATAGATAGATAGATAAGTTTTATAACTCTTCATCCACCTCAGCAGGGACTGCTGTTTAATATTAATGACACTACATGGCCAATTAAAAAGAACAATATGAAATATCCATACACATTACTGGGGTAGAAATTAGCTGTAATATCTCAGCAAAATATACCAGGTTGTGTTGGTAGACAGCTGAGTGAAAAGCTCTGCTCAGTGTGCAGAGGTGATTAACAAGCAAACAAACACAAGATCTTTAAAGAGCATCTTGTTGTTTATAACAGTTTTACGGAAAATATTGATGCCAAACTCTGAATCAAGGGTGTGTTCAATTTTGGTGACTCCACCTCAAGAAAGATATAGGAGAAACTGCAGGTGTCTAGAGATAGGTTAGGAGACTAAGTACACGACCAGGAAAGATGCTTTGTAGCTGTGATGGTCCAGGAAATGCATTTAGGTTATTTAGCTCACCCTGTTCTGCCTTTTTCCCCAGACCTGAGGAAGGATGCTTTTTGCCCAAACACTTGTTCAGTATCTCCCAATTATACACTTAGTCCAATAAAAGGTATCACAAAAATACCTTAACTCAGGCCCGGGAGAGACTTTCGTACAAGGAGGGCACATCTACACATGAACACTTACTGCACAGCAATTTAGGTTACTGTGGAGTAACTGAAAATTACTGTGCAGACCAGGCACGCATCTACATGTGCTCACACATACTGCACAGTAACTATGGTGACTTACGCCGACTTGGGCGTAAATTTGCTACCTGCATGCCTGAGTAGTTACTGTGCAGTAACACACGTGTAGTCACGTTACTGCGCAGTAACACTGTGTATGTGGGCTGACTTGGAGTTAACTTTACTTCCAAGTCAGTCCACACACAGTGTTACTGAGCTGTAATGCCTGCATGTGTAGACACCGGCTTAAAACCTCTTACTATGCAATAACTTAGTGCACAGTAACTTACTGCCCAGAAAATGCACATGTAGACATTCCCAAAGAGTCTAAAGAGATGAGGACCGTTTAGTTTAGAAAGAAGGTTAATGAGTAGGAATATGACAGAAGTGTTAAAATAACAAGAACAAAGGGACATCAAGGAAACTTGAAAGACAGAAAACAAAACTGATAAAAATAAACATTATTCTACACAACACATAAATACCCCGTGGAAAACACTGACCCCAGGTGTTACAGAAACCGACAGTCAGATTCACATTAGACATTTATACGAATGATAGAGCTGTCATCCCCAGCAGCAGCAAGGACAACATTTATGAGGGGTGCTTAGTAGTGAGAAGCCAGCCACCCATTGCCTGGGAATACCCAGCAGCCTTCCCCCACTATACACTATTGGGAAATTGTCTGTTATGGGAATTTTGGATTCTCCTTTGAGGTATGTGGCACTAGCAACGTTTGGAGATGGTGGGAGGACCAAAAGGACAAGTGGTCTGATCCTGTGGGGGAGAGGCCATTCCTGGAATGCTGTGTCCAGATCCTGTGTCCATGAGTTAAAAATGATGTTGCAAAATTGGAGAAAGTTCACAGAAGGGCTACAAAGAATGGTCTAAAATATGCCTTTCACTGAGACGCTTACAGAGGTCTGCCTGCATAGCCCATTGAAGGGAAAGTTAAGGATAAGCTAATCAGTCTACAAGTACCTACATGAAGAGCGGGTACAAGCTGGCTCTTTCACTCAGCAGGCAAACATCCAGTGTCTAAGAGCTGAAAACAGCAAAGTTCAGCAAATAGGCAAATTTTAGAGCAAGGGTAGCTAACCAGTGGAGCAGACATAGTGGACTCTCCATCACTGGGAGTCTTTAAGTTGAGGCTGGCCATCTCTCATTAAGAAATATGATCTAGCTCAAACACAAGCTATTGGGTCTGTGTGATGGAGGAGGTCAGACTGGATGAGTTGCAGTTCCTTCTGTTTGTAGCACCTAGGAAATCTTTTGAGGCAGTTCTTAATCGTCCAGACAGCAGATCCCTCCCAAAGCAGATGGCTTTTCCCCAGCCTAGCCCACCCCGATCCCTGCATAATCTTCAGGCTTGGAAGCCTTCAGTATGCCTGAGTGGCGTAGGTCAGTAGTGGATGCTCTCCTTTGTGGATTTTCTCATGTCTCTTGTGGTGGGAGCTGTGGCTGAAGCCTTTCCCACAGAAGGTGCAGATGTAGGGCTTCTCGCCTGTGTGGATGCGCTGGTGCTGGGTCAGGGTGGACTTGTCAGTGAAGCTCTTCCCACAGTCAGAGCAGGTATAGGGCTTCTCGCCTGTGTGGATGCGCTGGTGCCTGAAAAGGTTGGAGCTGACACTGAAGCTTTTCCCACAGTCAGTGCACTTGAAGGGTTTCTCGCCTGTGTGGATGCGCATGTGTTTGATGAGGTCTGCGTTCTGGCTGAAGCTCTGCCAGCACTCTGTACATGTGTTCAGCACCTCCACCTTCTTCCTGGGCTTGGGCTTGGGCACCGTGCCTTCATGTTGTGGTGAGGCACACTTGCCCAACCTCTTCCCCACAGGATGGCGCAGGTGCTTCTTCTTGTGGGAACTACGGCTAAAGCTCTTCCCACAGTCAATACACTTGTAGGGCTTCTCTCCTGTATGGATGCGCTGGTGCTGCGTTAGGTTGGATTTGTCGCTGAAGCTCTTCCCGCAGTCGGGACAGGAGTAGGGCTTCTCGCCCGTGTGAATGCGCTGGTGCCGGCTGAGGCTGGAGCTGACGCCAAAGCACTTGCCACACTCTGGACACTTGTAGGGTTTCTCGTCAGTGTGGGTCCTGCGGTGGTTGATGAGGCTGGAGTTCTGCGTGAAGCTTTTTCCACATTCGATGCAGATGTTAGGGCTCTCCTCTGTCTGGGTTCCCTGGTGCACCACAAAGTCCTTGCGCTTCTTGATGCCCTGAAGAAGTCTAGGAGGTTTCTTCTCCAAAGGCTCTGCTTCCCGTTCCTCAAGCCCAAACTGGCTCTCGCAAGATAGGTTCCTCTCTGGGCTCTGGCTGAAGTCCCTCCTGGATATCCTGAACGACATCTTCAGTGGTTCCACTTTGCCAGGCTAATGACCCACCTCTTTAGCATCATTCATGCCCCATTGTTGGCTGGAAAACCAAAACAGCTCTTCAGCTAATTTCTTTTTAGAATCGATTAGTGTTGATGGAGCATCAAATAGGAATGTGAGACCCACCTACACATTGCCAAAGGCTCAGTCACTTTATTGCAACCCAGACCCTCCCACTGGGGCTAAACTCAGGAGGCATTTCTATCCCCAAACCACCTAGTAACAGAGTCCTTGGGACTCTGACTAGAAGGGAGTGAATCCAAGGAGCTGCTGTGGGATAGTCCTCTAACACTGACCCTGAAGGTAACCTGGGTGGGGGGGGCACCACTTCAGGAGCAAGGGCTGACTTTTCCTTCCCTTGTTCACAGGGAAATGACTCTGTGGAGCAGGGATGGGAACCAGGAATCTCTCTCCCCATTCATCGCTCCTGCTGCCTCTTCTAGTCTCTCTTTCCCATTCTCTCTCCTTCACCCTCTCTTCTCCTATCTGCCTGGAGTTTGTTCTTGGGGGGAATTAACTCTCCTGGAGCTCCTGATCAGGCAACCAGGAGGAAGAGCCCCTGCGTGCCAGCAGCAGCTCTAGGACTTGCAGACCCCCAAGGGCTGTGTGTGCAGAGAGAGCCCCCGTCTTGCCCGTCCCCAGGTCTCTCTCCATTACCTGGAGTCTCCGGCTCAGGAGCTGGTGTGGGCAGAGGCCGGGGCTGCCCTGGGGGCTGGTGCCAGTCACTAGGGCACAGAGAGGGCTTTCATGAGGAAGAGCAGCAGCTGCTCAGCGCGGGCTCCGGCTCACAATGGAGGCAGCAGCAGCATCTGACCCAGGAAGCTCAACCCCCATATCCTTAGGAATGAAGCAGCCTCCCCTCCCTCTGCAGCAGCCAAGGGCAAGAGCCCTCTAGCGACAACTGCTAAGGAGCCCCTCTCCCCGAGTCCCGCAGCCAGGCCAGGGGCTGGCCTCAAGGACACGTTTCTTCTGAGTGAATGAAGCAAAGGAGTTCCCAAACCTGTGCTTCTCGCTGCCAGCAGCCTGGGCCCCCCCAGCCTCCTGGATCCTGCGGGACGACTCCTGCCTCCAGCTTCTTGAGCATCATCTTGCTGCATCGGAGGAGAAAGGCCATTTCAGCGCACAAGGCGTCTTGCTGTTGCTTGTAAATAAAGCATCACAGAAGGCACCTCTTTCCTCCATCCCTGAATGAGAAATTGAGAAACCAGCATGAACGGTGGAACATCTCTGTCTCGCTGCCCTTCTTCCCAGTGGGGTGGCGTGGGGATTGCCTCTGAGGCCCATGAAGCACAGATCAATACAGATCCAAGTCCACTTTTAACCAGACATTCTGGATTTGTTTGCTTTCTGGGTAGCACCATCTGTTCCAGCTCCCTTAGGGTGGGGGAAGTTAGTATAACTATGATTTTCTGCAGGGGCTGGGGGGAGAGAGAGAAGAGCAAATGAGGGATTCATTCTGCAGGTTCTGTGAGGAGGACTGCGTTGGGGGAATTCATTTTAGATTTGGCAACTAGATTCGACAAATCTAGATTGGACATATTTAGTCTTAAATCCAGCATGGTTGGGAGTTATGTGGGACTAGAAGGAAGAGCATAAGATGGAGGAAATGTAACTCAGTGAGAGGGTTGCTGGGCTCATTGGGAATGGCAGGGTTTGAAAGTGCATTGCTTTATTATTGCAAGGTGTTGGGGGAAAGAGAGGAGAGTTATTTGCTGTTGATACTGGACTGCATTGTGAGAAAGAAGTAATGGAGCACGGGGTTTTATTAAAAAGCACCAAGAAAACAATTTGAGGTCTTAAAAATGTACATAAAAGTGTATTAAAAGTTTGGAATGATCGCAGACAAATGCCTAGTGTCAAACTCATGTATTTTTCCCTGTTCAAAATGTCCCAGTTCCCCTGTCTATGGTATTCATGCATCCCCCTTCCTTTATGTACTACCCAGCCTTTAATGAACGTATCTTCATAGCCCCACAGTGAGGTAGGGCAAGGATCTTGTCCCATTTTACAGATGGAGAACTGAGACTTAGAGAGACAAAAGCCCAGGTCCAGAAAACTGGAACTTAGGCACCAAAAGCTGGACTTAGGCAAAATGTGCAACCTCAGTGCAGGAGCACTATTGTCAGCATCCCACATGATCCCCTTAGGTGCTTGCATTTTCACCGGGAAAGTTTCTTCTCAGGACCAAACAACCTCCTGTGCAAGCCCTAAATTGGAACCACTTTGACAGCACTAAAAGCAGCTTGGTGCCTAAGCCTGACCACGATCCAGGAACTAGGTGGCCTTCACTGATCTAAGGCAGTATTACCTAGTGTGTCCTCTGGGGAGGTTGTGGGGAGGCGACACAAAAGGTTCTTGGGGGCATGTAAACCATGGCTGCCAATTCCCCCTGCTGCTGATAGCCTCTGGGGAACCAGCAGTGGGATGGAATCAGCGGTGGGAAGGGGACACAAGAGTGGCCATCTCTGCTATGCTGGGGTGCAAACCCACGAGCTTTGGGAAACACCGATCTAAGGTTACATCTATATAGTGCAAGGCTGACTGTCTCTGCTGTGTGGGTGCTAGTTCCCAAACCAGAAGTAGTGCAGCTGCATTTGTGTGGCACGCACTAGTATTGTCCTGGAAGCACAGGATCTTTGTTGACGTAGCTCTATATGACTTGCCCAAGGCCACAAGGAAAATCCGTGGCAGAGTAGGGAGCAAAATCTAGATTCCCAGACATCTAGGATAGTACTAACCATTGGACTATGCTTCCTTTATTGTTCCCCCACTGGGGTTGATGCAAAATTATCCTTATTCAAAGTAGCTGCCATATCCCTATGGGTTTCAAAAATAGTAGGCAGAAAGCAGGGCAGGGTGGCACCTTAGAGACTAGCTTGTTATTTATAGCAGTAAAGAAGTTATAAATTGCAGTAGGTTAGAGTGAGGCTAGCCCTAGCAAACTATCTCTGTTCTTTGTTTTCAATGAGGCGGGTTGCCTTCAGAAAAGATGATTGCCACAACATGGCTGGGCAGGACAATGCAAGACATGGGAACATGGGGTACAGGATGGGAGCTGAGAGGCTGCCAAGAAACATGGAGGCAGAGGCAGATGAGATTAGGAAGGATGGTATGTTTAGGTGACAGACGAATGGAGGTGTGTAGGGGAGTCAGAACTGGTGGAGGAAAATCATCAGTGTGTGGTACTGTAAGGTAGAAGAAGAGGAAACTATGGAGGGCAGAGGGGTGCACTGGGGGCAGTGAAGGGAGAATACAAGTGCAGAAGGAGACTGTGTAGTGTTGAGATGCAGATAAGAAAGGGACAGAGTAGTAAAGAGAACAGGGGAGGTAAAGAAAGGCAGTTCACAGGGGACACAATCTGGTACTTCACTTAATTGTTTAAAAAAGCTTTGTCCACTTTCTAATCCTGATTTGGTGGTTCATAGCAGGCACCCATGGTGCCATCACTCTTGCTGTTCTCCCCTTTTACTTGACTCAAAGATTTCAAGAGGCCTTCAACAGGCCTTTTGTGCTGTATCTCAGAACAAGTGTGTATCTCATACATACAGCAACATTGCTTCCTATGGGAGAGTTAAATATGCAGCTCTTTTCATCTGGCTGCTGACAGTGGTTTCAGAACTTGCAGTCAGAGTACGTACTTGGACAATACTGTTTGGTCAAGTCTTTGTTTAAACATAGACAAACAACTGCAGAAAAAAAGGAAAGGCTAGAGAAAGAACTACGAGAATTAACCTTCCATTTCTGGTGTGGTAGATGGTACGGAGTTGACATATCTTGCAAACGATGTAATGGACTGATTTGCACATGCATGTTTCTTGCTCCAGATTAACTATATTTTGTGCACATTCTATTATTTTTGCTACTGTGGAGAATCCAGTCGGCTTGTTTTTCCAGCCACCAATTACATTCTGGCTTTTAGATTGTAAGCTTTTTGGAACAGGGACTGTCACTTGCTCTGTCTTTGTACAGCTCCTAGCACAATGATGTCCTGATTTGGATGAAGCTTCCATGTTCTAAGGCAGTCCAAAAGCACGTCTACACCACCTAAGGTTTATCACTGTGAAAACACCCCCACCCGTTCCCTCTTGTTCCACACCTGCTGCATGCCAAAAAAAAATGTCACTACAGGCTTACTGGCACATACCCAGGGTGTGCCTAGCAGCACACACAGGCTCTCAGACTCAAAGTGCTAATGAAAGCAGGGTAGGTGTGGCCAGCACTGCTCCCTCACTGACTTCAGGCCATTGCTTTAGCAGGTATCATTTACAAAGCAGGAGCAAGTGGATCGGGTAAGTTTTCATGGTGGTGTTCCCCAATACTGTACAATACAGTGTATGTGTACCATGAATGTTAAATAAAACATGCAACTGCAAACAAATGCCCAAGCACTCCTCTTGCTGCTGTCAGTGTGCCTGCATCATAACTCATTTTATAATACAATCACACTGCTATCTTTCCCTTCAACAGGCTTTGAACCCAGGGCAGCCAGAACCACACCACTCCTCTGTAAGCTATTTAATATCAGAAGTAGGCTTTCATCTTTCATATGGCCCAGTCCCTTGGAGGGGTGCTACGTATGTTCTTCCTGTGGGTTACAGTTGTGAAACCAGGATGGTGGGTTGGGAATTGGGACTTCTGAGTCTGGGAAAGAAGTATAGCCTACAGCTGGGCATGTCAACTAGATTTGACATATTTGGGCTTATTCATGACATATTTGGCTTATTTAGTCAAGAGACAAGAAGACTGAGAGGGGATTTAATAGCAGCCTTCAACTACGTGAAGGGAGGTCTGAAAGAGGATGGAGCTGGACTGTTCTCAGTGGCGGCAGATGGCAGAACAAGGAAGCAATGGGCTCAAGTTGCAGCAAGGGAGTTTTAGGTTAGATATTAGGGAAAACTTTGTCACAAGGAGGGTAGTAAAGCACTGGAACAGGTTACCCAGAGGCAGTGGAATCTCCATCCTAGGAGGTTTTTAAGACCTGGCTAGATAAAACCGTGGCTGGGATGATATAGTTGGGGATGGTCCTGTTTTAAGCAGAGGTTGGACTAGATGTGACCTTCTGAGGTCCCTTCCAACCCTAATTTTCCACGATTCTATGAAATGTAGTAGGATGGGAGTTATGTGGGACTAGAAGGAAGAGGATAAGATAAAGAGAATATAGCTCACTAAGAGGGTAACTGCTGTAGAAGAGAAGGGCCTGACTTACCTCAAATGTGCCAGAAACTCCCCATTGTCTGCCTACCCTCTCCTGTCTATTCATTTATTCAATATATATTAAAATGTAAGATACAGAAAACCATTGGGCAGAGGTCAGGGACCCTCTCTTCCATGGCAGCATCCAGGCCACTGAGCTATACTTGCACTTACTTGCTCTCTTCCTGGCACCTCATACCTTCCTCTCTTGGCTGTCCAAAAGCTCAGTTCAACAGAAATGCTGGAGAGCAACCTAAGCAATGCCCAGCTCATAGCCTGGTGATTACAGCACTCTGTTGGGAAGTGAGAGATGCAGGTTTAAACCTCCTTTAGGTAGAAGGAGATTTCCACATCCTGGGCAAGTGTCCTTAGCTACTAGGCTATTTGGGATAAAAGGAAGGAGGGCCGTTCTCTTCCCTTTTCCTTCCAGGAGTATGTGTGCACTGGGTGAACCTATTCTGCCACAGGTGAAAATAGAGTATAAGGGCTGTACAAGTGCAGGTGCCTATGCAGGTAGGAAGCTGTATCAGTATCATTTAGGTGTGTAGGGGTGAAACAGGATTCAGCCCAGAGAGTCGAGAAATACCCACAGAATTGTGACATATTGGAACTAACCTGCAAAGTTCCTCAAAGAAAAATTGTGCCTTGCTAATCTATTGGCATGCTTTGATCATTCATCAGCAAAAAGTATTATACCAACTGCTTGTCATTTATTTAATTTATTTAGACTTCCAAAAAAACCCCAACTTTTGACAAAGTCCCTCACAAGAGGCTCTTAAGGCAGCCACGCAGTCACTTGATGAAAAAAAACCCTGTTATAAATTAGAAACTGGCCAAGAGACAGAAAACAAAAGGGAGAAATGGTCAGTTTTTTTAACATGGCAAGAGGTTAACAATGGAGTGCTTTTGAGGTCCAGTACTAGGACTAGTGTTATTCAACATATATTGATGGCCTATAAAAGGGGGGTGAGCAGTGTGACCGCAACATTTACGGAGAAAACATTACATGGGTTAGTTGTCTTTATAGAAGGCTGAATACCTTCAGAAGGCCTTCATGCTAGCTCAGCTGGCCATAACAGCAAACAGCGCTTGGTATAAAGTGCAAGGCAATGCACTTGGACCTGTACCATGCCATCATTTTTAAATTCATATTCTGTTTACTTGGGAAGTGTTTAGTACAGTGGTGACTGTTGCTAATTAAAAATATATCAACTTCTGATAGAAGCTGAGATTTTTCAAAACCATTTTAGGGATTTACTCAGTTTTGGAGATTGCAATGTAACATTTTCTGAAGTCTGTAAGGGTCAAATGTTTAAAGGTATTTAGGCACCGTAAGAGTAGAGAGAGGTGCTGAATGATTTTTAAGATGTGTCTAGGCATCTAATATTCACTAATTTCATAGGCTATTTCAGTGGGAGTTGAGCAGCCCCTGGTGACCATCTATGCATTCTGCATTAAATAATTATTGGATAAAATGCATAAATAGTACTAAGGTGAGAAGCCAGAATCCAGGGCTTCCTCTCTTCCAGAGTCAAGCTTCCTTTATCTTGCTGTTTTTCTAGCCCCAGCTCTTGCACTCTTGGCAGACTGGTGGGC